CGTTGCAATCAAGTAGGCTGGAACTGTCATTTGAGTACTTATTTAATTTGACGTTTGTCAGTGTATGATTTAGAATATAAAAAAAATAGTGTTAACCCGTTCGTTATACCTGTGTTTTTCAAGTAAAAAGAAAATGTCAGAAGAAATGCAATCAACACCTCCCGAATTGCTAGAAATAGCGAAATCTTCAATGTAAACCAATATGTACAAAGTCTTAAGCAGTTAAGTAAGGAATGCAGTTTTGGTTCTGATGCTGATAAGAATAGAGATGACTATATACGTGATTCATTCATAAGCGGATTAAACTGCCAAGAATTTCGACAACGGCTCTTAGAAAATAGCACTTTAAGTTTAGAAGAAGCCATAACTCAAGCCAGCGCCTTAGAATCTGCCAAGAAACATGCCGAAGCATACGCCCAACCTTCTTTCCTCAAGAGGACAACACTGAGCAAGTACCTCAAATATTAAATGCTGCTTTAAATTGGCCCAAATGCTATTTTTGTGGTAACAAGAAACATCCACGTTCCGTTTGTCCTGCCAGAGACGTAGTCTGTAAGGAATGCAAGAAGCATAGACATTTCGCAAAGGTTTGTCAAAATAAGTTACGACTGAACAGACCCACAACTGCAACCATTACTAAAGTTATATTAGCCGTCCCCAAATGCCTTTCTAAAACAACTATATCAATAAAAATTAGTAATGTTGAGGCACAGCCTTAATCGATACTGGTAGCTCCGACACTTATATTAATGCAAATTTTCTTGCTGGCCTTAATCTCAAAGTATATCCTAGCTCTAGCCAAATATCAATGGCCAAAACTTCATTAAATACTAATGTAGAAGGGCACTGTTTTATTGATGTTTATATCCAAGGTTTCTATTATTACCACTTGAATGCCTCTGTTCTGTCAGAGTTATGTGTGGATGTCATTATTGGCCTAAATATTTTAGAACAACATTCTTCAATTGAGTTTCATTTCAATGGCTATAAAACTCCTTTACATATAGGTGGGCCCCTTACTACACTCTCTACTAATAAAATTTGTAACTTAGCCGCTGCCTCTATTGTCTCCCCTGCTCTGTTTTCAAATTTGGCACCAAATTGTAAGCCAATAACTACGAAATCGCGTAGACACACACAAGATGACGCCAAATTCATAAACCTTGAAATAGGAAAATTACTTTCGGAAGGAGTAATAGAAGAAAGTCGATCTCCTTGGCGGGCCCAAGTTCTGGTTACCAGAAATGAGAACCATAAAAAGAGAATGGTTATAGACTACTCTCAGACTATAAATCGTTTTACATATTTAGACGCATATCCTTTGCCCAATATTGATAAAATTGTCGGTGAAGTGTCTAAATTCAATTTCTTTAGTACTATTGATTTGCAGAGCGCCTATCACCAAATACCAATACTAGAGAATGAGAAAATATTCACAGGTTTTGAAGCTCAAGGTCGCCTCTACCAATTTTGTAGAATACCTTTCGGAGTAACGAATGGGGTTGCGTGTTTTCAACGTGTCTTAAACCAAATAATTACTAAAGAAAAACTTAATGGCGTTTACAGTTATTTAGACGATATAACTGTGTGTGGAAAAAATCAGGATGATCACGATAAAAATCTAAAAATGTTACTTGATATTATTTCTAAGTATAACCTTACTATAAATCATGATAAGAGTTCATTCAGTAAACGCTCAATCAACTTACTAGGTTACCTAATTGAAAACAATACACTGAAGCCCGATCCAACTAGCAAAAAAAAAAAAACAGTGAAACGTATATAAAAAATTTCAGTAGCAAAGTGGAAATTAAATCAAAGAAATAAATGGATAAGTGTACAATAAGAAGAAAAATTACCTTTATTTTTGTAATAATAACAGTAATGCTGGAAATATTAGACATCAGAAACTTGAAAGGTTTTAAATAAACAATAAATTATCATTTTACGATGTTCTTTAATATATGTTAATATCCCTTTATTCTTAAATGTTCATTCAGCAAGGACTAGATTTCAAGATTTCTGCCTTTGATTATTATTATATGTGGCTGGAATACAATTTTGTAACTTACTAATGGGAAACCAGTTTTAATTATTCATTCTATGTTTTCTTTCCAACAAAAATGAAAATATAAATAACGATCCTTTTTTTAAACATTTTAACTTCACGCTATGGTATTTTTTTTATTTTGACAGAATAATTCTTCAATGACAACTTATTAGACTTAGGCAACTTATCATACATTTTGCAGTAAATACTGTTGCCTGCCTATATTTTATTATTCATTTTTATTGATTATACATAATTTTCTTTAATTTAAGAGATAAAAATATATAATAATAATAAATTAATGTTTTACTTGTTTTACAAATCCATATAATTTTATTAAAACTAACATATATACTTTTTAATTACGAATTCTATTAAAAATTGCATTTGTCAGTATAGGCAGAAATAGTCCATTAATACCAAAACGAATTGGCGCTGCTGTCGCGCACGGAGCGAATAATAATAACCACCTATATATTTCATCAAAACAAAGTGAGAACATTACTATTTGTCATCATTTTTAGTGTACGAGACAACGATAATTAATTAAAGAAAATAGTGTGTATTCTTTCCTACAAAATTGTAAATATTATTCAAATGGATTTTGAAAAAATAAGTGATAAGTGCCATTTTGATGTTATGTATACAGAAGAGTAGGTATTAAATTATAATTGCCCCATTTTAGACAATTAATAAACACATTTTAAAGCTCTTATTGTACGTTTCTGAAACCAAATTTCTTTATTTATCCCTTTGTTAAGCCTATCGAATACATAGGTCGTTTTTATAACAACCATCTTATTAAAAAAATCATCTACTCGTATTTCACTTAGGTATGTTGTAATAATTTTAATTTAATTCCCAACTCATAAAAAATTACAATAACCAATTTTCATTCGGCCTAATTTTCATTAAAACAATGAAGAACAGATATGTTTTTTTTTTCGAAATAGCCCAGATTCTCATTCGTAATAGCTCGTCTGGTACCCATGGCGATGAAAATGATGCAATTCCAGTTTGGAAATTCAAATTATTAAGAGGTAAAATCGTTCTTTGCAATCATCGTACAAAATGAAAAACTCCCACAGCTTTAAATGTGGATTCAATTGTTTCTCATAGCGAAAATCATTTCCTTTTATTGTAAGTAGATGCACGTTTTTTGAGAATTCATGAATGTTTAATATTTGCAAATTATGTATTATATTACTGAAGACAAATCATTTAATGTGTGAAATACTAAATATTTTATAATTTGTGTAGAAGCAAAATGTAGAATATAAAAATTAAGGTATATCTTAAAATAATTTAATTTTCAACATCTAAAATAATAAAAATATGTGATTTAATATTATCGAAATCATTAAGGACTTAAAAAAAGCCATTTGCATGGATTCACAAATAGGTGTAAAGGACGAAAAAATGTTTAATTTGAACATTTACCTTTACCACTTGCTTCATCTAAAGTGAAAAAATGCGAGATATACATTACAATTATAGAAGTTTTTTATTCTACCTTCAAACTACCGTTTTTAGGAGATATGACAATATTTTTGTTCGTATGAGAAATATGACTGAAAGTAAAATTGAGTAACAGCCGTATGCATAGTCGATCGCCAGCGACTCGCCAGAGATTCATTCCGGCGTTTCGCCAGCGATTCGCTGGCGATCCGCCGGCGAAAGCCCAAAAAGGTGGCGTCTCGCCGGAGATTGTCACCGAAATGTCATTTCACGCAAGTTTTTATTTTCTTTTATAGGGATTATCACCGGTATCTCTCGCATTTTATTCATGATTCATTTCTTAAAACTCAAAAAATAATGAACGAATATCAAATTTTTCCCTATAAAAGAACATGAAAACTTGCGTGAAATGACATTCCGGTGACAATCTCCGGCGAGTCGCCAGCTTTTTGGGCTTTCGCCGGCGGATCGCCAGTGAATCGCTGGCGATCGACTATGCATACGGCTGTAAATATTACTATTAATTTAAAGCAATTTAATATAGATAGCAAAACTTTGTAGATCCTTGAAAAAAATCCAAAAATAATTGTTTCTTAAATATTTTAAGTATGAAAGAATACTTACCCAGGCTTCTCAATAGGTATGTCAAAATGTCTACTAAACCACTGTACAATTACTAACTCTTAATCTCAGGGTGATTCAATTATTTAAAATTTTATCTCACTTCAGTTTCAAGTAGAATTTTTTTGTCTACACACCAGAAATTGTTTGTAAATTTTATTTTACTCTATTCAATGACACTCATAGGTTCAATTGTCATATATAATATTTTTTCTACGATCACTATCCAAAGTAGGCTTTTGCACATTCAAATCTAACTGGAAAGTTGACGTTTTCCATGAATTGTAATAGATTGAAAATATTTCCTCATATAGGCAGAGAGTTACTTTTTGTAGACGCCTATTTTCATAAGAAAAGTTGTTATTATAATGCTAATCGGTATTTTAAAAGAAAATATAGGCTAATCTGAATCTTTTAGTTGAACATTTAATACTCAAACTCATTTTCCTTAATGTTTAAATGATATTTAAAATATAAAAAATAAATTACCCTATTTTCGACACTTATATTTAACATGCCTTGTTGGTGTAGAGCCTAGCGCGGTTTGTCTTTCAACCCAAAGGTCGTGAGTTCAGACATTTGATTTATAATTAAACATTAATAATAAATTAACTTGTTTTGATTAAAATTTTTGTTATCGATAGTTTTCTGAAATAATAACTTTGCCGTTTAGTATATTACTAATTAACAGTTTACCAGTAGTAGTTTTTTTATTGAAGTTAATTTGTTAAACTTATATTTATAATTTTTTCCCTTTATTAAAGGTAACATATTATTATACTCAACCTTATTTTAATCAAAAATATTGTTTTGTCCTTATTAAAAAATACAATTAATTAAATTTCATTTTTATTTATATAAAAATAGAAAACTCTTACACATTAACATTACCACGTCTTAATTGAGATATTTTTCTGTACAACTTATAACTATGATACCGAGGTATTTGGGGATACCATTTTAAATATGACACACAACAAGGGCCGTTCAAAATTTTAAATTTACAATTAATTCACATCACTTTATTTTTATATTATTATGGAGCTCCGTATGTGCTACTGGGTTTGTTGTTGCTATTATAACCATTGCTGTAGGAATCATAGTTGTTGTTATTGTTGTAATTATAGCTGTCGTGACCTGCTGCTAAATTGTTGATGGCAGAACTAGATGGGGTATTGCTATTGTAACCTAGAAAAATAAATAAAATAGGTTGAGCAAAGGCAGAAGGTTTCTACTACGACGTATGTGTAAATGAAAAAATGTAGATGTCAATATCTTGGATGTATCTGCTTGAATTATCAAGAAGACTATTCCGAAGTATAAATTTTAATATTAGGTAATAATTAAATATATCAGCGTTACCAAAATATAAAAAACACCATTAACTTTACCTATCTTGGTTAAATTACCGTAAGTTTAATGTATTTATATTTATGCAATCATCTCTTTTTATGACTTAGTACCTTTATTTCTTATTTCTAATCTTTCTGACAACTTCGACGGGTGGTCTCCATAAATAAAATTATGTAAGGCATGTTTATAGCCACTTTTTATAAACATTAATCAGTAGGGGTCAATCTAAGAGTGTACTCTACAATCGTTACATGTGCATGTTCTAGAATTACAATGCTTGAAAAACAACTGGCACGATTTATTATAATAAGAAAGGTTTTTGTGTGGATCTATATAATTTATTTTCAACATTTATGCAGGTAGGTAAACTGAAATTATAACCAATTTGTTTGGTATTTAAATTAATTGCTTACTTATTCACGACCATGATAATTAATTTATAGTATGAACTACAGGTTTAAAATTATATCAGAGTGAGTCATTTTAACTCATGGAATTTCATAAACTGCAGTTTAATATTTATATCACAAACAAAACTATTAACATGATTTCTCTAGAAAACATCCTGAATAAACAAGAATACTTGTTACAGAATATTTATAAATGAGAAATATATTGGTCCTTTATTTGTCAGTGCAATAATGAATAAGGAAAAGTGACATTAAAGGCTTAAGCAGTGGATTCATTTCGGCTGGATTGGATTTATTAAAAACAGACACTATTCTTTATTTCTTTTTAATCTCTGTTATTATTTTTGTTCTTATTTTTGTTCTTCTTCACTATGTTCTTCATTTCTTCGTAGGTTTCACCTATGTCTTCTTATCATTGTCATTATTATTCTTCTATTCATTCTTCTTTTTATTCTTCCTCTTCTACTTTCTTCTTCTTTTTTTTGTTCTACTTCATCTTTATTTAGACCTATTGATATTGGTTTGATCACTAGACTGTTGGTGGTAGTTAATAGAGATGTTATTTGGCTATAAAATCGTTGAACACCATTTTTTTATAATCACAAATTTCTGCCTATTCCAGATACTTCTGAAATTGTTAACGTTTTCACATTTTTTAAGATATTTCTTACTAATAATGAACAATTTGTCGTTCCCATCTCACGTGTATCCACATTTTCGGGGTGTTTTTATTTTTATTATATGTACTTTTTGCATTTTTGCTACTATCGGTCTCAAAATTTTAAATTCCTTTATGTAGTTTTGTATTTAAGTAGTGGGTGGTGGGTTATACATTTTAATAAATGATAGGAAAATATAGAAGCTTTTTCTATGAGTCGTAACACATTTAGTTGTTATAAGACAAGAATTGTTACTCTTTTTAAGCTATGAATTGCTTTTATCAGCCAATCACCTGTAGCTCTATAATTTTTACTTTAAACTAATTAAATAACTATGTAACTCCTCTAGACTAATGTAGTGTAGCTGACTGTTTTGTTAAGCTTTAAACATCTTTTACATATGCGTTGGAAACATCATTCAAACATGCTTTGTATAAAAATCTTTTAAAATCGATGAAATGTAGAAAAGAATTAAAGCAGATAAAGATAATATTAAAAACTCACCATTGTATCCACCTGTTGGAGCACCATATTGATTAGAAACGCCTTGGTATCCATTTCCTTTGTTGTATTGGTCTGGGTACTGGGCTTCCCCTTCGTACTTAACATCAGCATGGAAACCGCTTTGCCAGTCAGCCCAGTAAGTCACTATTTGGGTACGACCGTCAGGAAGGGCTACTCTGTATTCCCCTCGAACTTGGTTCCCATCACTGGATTCCTGGCGATTGTAGTTGGTACCAGTGTAGTCGTCCTTTACTTGGTATCCGAATTCGTAAGCTTTGGGCTATAAAAAATACAAAAATGTAAAATATAATCCAATTTCCAAGAACGGTAGCTAGTGTAAAATACAGCATTATATATGGGGTATTAGAGCCTTGCATTTCCGATCACACAGGACAGTATATCACAATCAAAGGTAAGGTTGAGCAAAAGAAACTCTCATACTCTAGGAGAATAACCAAAAATGGACTTAAAAAGTTGAATAAATCTCTCTCTGATGTCGATTGGCATAGGGCCATTCATTCTAGTGATGCAAATCTGGTTGCCTCCTTTATGGTAGACACTTACACAAATTTAATACAAAAAAATTTCCCGATGCAATCTAAATCTGTCAAGTCTAAAAAATCCCCTGTTTCTTGGTTTAATGAACAGTTAAATGAAATGAGATGTACTTTATCTAATCTTAAATTAATAGCGGATTCTACTAGAGACCAGCAGGCTTTTGCTGTTTTTAAAGCATATAAAAAACATTATAGTAGTCATCTAAAAATTAGTAAAAAATCAGCATACGATAATTTTATAATTAATTCCGGGAATACATCCAAAGCTTGTTGGCAAATAATTAATTTTGAAAGGAATCATAGTCATACTATTTCCAATTTTACAAACATATCATCAGAAAATTTTAATGATTTCTTTACTAGCGTAGCTGACAATGTAATAAAGTCTCTTCCTACCGCCTCAAATATTGATTTACTTAATTTTGAAAATTTTCCTGCCCCGTGTAGTTCTTTTTTTCTGTACCCAGTAACTGAATTGGAAATTTTGAATACGATTAATGCCTTAAAAGACACAAACTGTGTGGACACTCATGAGATAAATAGTCGGATTATAAAGGAAACAACTGAAATAATGTTGGTACCACTAACCAATCTTGTAAACGTAATCTTCACAACTGGAGTATTTCCAGATGTTTTTAAAAACTCAAAAGTTATTCCGGTTCTAAAAAAAGGAGATAGTTCTGTTCCTGATAACTATAGGCCAATATCTATAACCAGCGTTTTCGGTAAAATAGTAGAAAAGGTTATGAAGCAAAGGCTCAATGATTATTTTAATAAAAATAATTTCTTTTGCGAATCACAATATGGTTTCCGTAATAAACGCTCAACTATTCAAGCTGTTCTTAATGTTGTTAGTGGCATAGTTGAGGGCCTAGAAAGAGGTGAATACACTGCAATTACGCTATGTGATCTCTCGAAGGCCTTTGACTGTGTCTCTCACAACATTCTGCTGAAAAAACTACATTATTATGGAATTAGAGGTGTACCCCTGTCACTCATTCCATCTTATCTGAAAAATAGATCGCAGGCTGTATATTTTAATAATACCTCATCTAAGTTTAAAATGATCACACATGGAGTACCACAAGGTTCTGTCCTTGGGCCTCTACTGTTCATTATATACGTCAATGATCTAATTAAATATATGAACCCTTGCAAAACTATTCTATTTGCCGACGATACGACCTTTATCTCAACTGGAAAAGATCAATCTTGTTTATTAAATGCTACTAAGTGCAGTATTGAATTGTCAAAAAAATGGTTCTGTGCCAATCAACTTATGCTAAATGATACAAAAACTCAAAACCTTTATTTTGGATCTGGTAGTTCATCATCGGAACTTGACAGTGTCAAATTGTTAGGTGTAAAACTTGATAGTAATCTATCATGGACCTGCCATATCGATATGATTGCTAAAAGATTATCTAGTTTGTTGTTTTTGCTTCGGCGTTTGGCCTTAATTACCAATTTTCAATGTTTAAAAATGGTATATTTTTCATTGTTTCATTCCCAGATAGGTTACGGAATTATTCTTTGGGGTAATTCATCAGAGGCAATGAAATTATTTCGTAGGCAAAAGAAAGCCATAAGAATCCTAGCGAATGTTGGGTACCGTGAGCACTGTCAACCACTCTTCAAAAAATTTGTAATTATGTCATTACCATCAGTGTTTATTTTAAATACAGTTCTTGAAATTCACAAAAACAGTGCAAATCTACTAAAGCAGTCTGATGTTCACCATTATAATACCAGACAAGCTGGGAATCTAAGGAAACAAAAATTTCGATTATCTAAATCCCAGAAAAATTCACTGAACCTTAACTTATATAATATTTTACCATCAAATTTAAAATATTTAAACTTTTCCCAATTTAAAGGAAAATTAAAGAGATTTCTTCTTGAAATGTGCTTTTATTCAGTCAGTGAATATACAGACTATTTTAAAAATTTTAAAAATAAAAATAATACATATATATTTTAAGTTATGTTAGTTGTAATATTATTATTTGTTACTGTAAAATATTTGTAACTGTGCAATATTTAGAAACCTTTATTTTTTATTGTTCTTGGAACATATTTTATTTATTTGTGACTTGCTACAAATGTACTGTTTGTATATAACGTAGTGAATAAATTCTATTCTATTCTATTCTACACCTCACTAGTAGAAAGTTCGGATAGTACGATTTTCTGTTGCAATATTTTTTTAATGTAAGTTTTTTTATTATTAGAGTTTAATTGTAGGATTTTAGATTACAATTCGCAATATTAAGAAAATACATGACTAATTCGAGGTAGCTACACTACACTAGTAGATACTTCGAATTATAAGATTTTTGTTGGTAAGATTGTGATTGTGAGATATGGATAGTAAGACTTGGCAGTAAGATTTAAGCTGTATGGTTTTGATTGTAAGATTTTGATTGTATGATTTTAATTATAAGATTTTTGATTGCAAGGTATCAATTGTAAGATTTTTATTGTAAGCTATTGTACAATTTTGATTATATGATTTTAATTGTAAGATTTTGATTGTAGGATTCTGATTGTAAAATTTTGATTGTAAGAAATTGATTGTAAAAATTTGACTGTTTTTATTAGCAAAATTTTGATTGTGTAAGATTTTGTAATACAGGATTCAATCCGAGAAAAATACTTGCAGATATTATCAAATGACTAATTTTGGTTAAATGAATATCTTAGGATATTTAAATGCAATAAACGTGTGGCGTCAAAATATTTGGTTTTTTATTAAAAATAACTGATAATTGTAAATATTAACATTTTACATAATATATTTCTTGAATATTAAAAAAGGCTTTTTTTAAAATAATTGCGAACTATAAAAATTTCTGTACAACGAAATCATCTTTAAAACAAATAATTTTGTTCATGACCGCGAACTGTGCTATTAAGTAATAACATTGAACTTTGTTGAGGAACGCTAATAATAAGTTTACAAAATTGTGCAACTGAAAACTATATTTAGAGATATCCTGTTTTTGAAGAAATAATTGCTAGAGTGAAAGCGAGTATTTTATAAAAACAGTAAAGTATAAAACACATTGAATATTAAATTACATATAATTTTACTTGTTTTGGTCCATAAAGCTACTCATATTACACAATTATTAATTCGACAGAAATATGTATTTGTATGTTTAGTAACGTTTTTACATACTGTGTGCAGAATACATATTTTTTTTGGATTAGCCGAGAAAATGAGGAAATTAAATAAAATAAAATTTTCATTTAATTTTGTTAATTGTTCGAAAAAAATGTTGTTGCGTATTAGTTGCAATTTTCTAATTTAAAGGTAGTTTTTATTGGCACACAAATTTGCCATATTCCATAAACAAAGGAAAACATGGTGATATTCTATTAGTATTAGAACATAAAAATAAATAATAATGTTCAATTCAAATTTACGTCTATGTGCAGGAAAATATTACTCGACCAACGTCTCGTGGTATTTTGAGGAGAATTTTGTTTCGTGAAATTTAAACACATAATTTTCACAGAAACAACAAAATGTTCTTAACATATTCTCACCTCTTTTGTTATTAGCCTTGAAAACACCGAAAGTAAAGAAATAGGTTGATAATTTTGATTTCGAGTTAAGAATCCATCTTTAAATCTCTATAGAGGCTTGTATGTCCCAATTTTTGGAAAATATGCATCACTAAAAATTTTGAATTAAGTAAGCGGTTGTATAATGTGATTTCCTGTATGTTCAAGTGTTCATCAAAATCACCTGGAGAAATTATTTTGTTTAAGGCTGGCGATCGCCCATGTTAATTCCCCGTATATACAGATTTTAGTTTTGACGAAGCTTTTGGGAAAAGTATACTTCGTAGCATTAATTTTAATATAAAAATCAGTTCATGAATTATGCCTACGAGTTGAAAAGAAATTTAAAGGAAGAGAGTTTTTTAAAAATAATCTAAAAATGACTCTGATCCTCGGTATCCAAACCACATAGAAACCCTTGACTTGTCGACGTATTTACTTTAAAACTGAACATATTCGTTTTCTTTTCTTTACCACAAACATATCAAATAAATGAAACAAATCGAACTTCAAAATAATGTTTAGTTTTCCTGAAAGCTTGGTTTAAAATAAAAGCTAATTGTTATTTGACCTAGAGACAATGCAGATCAAAAGTGGGGTCTGCCCTAACCACTGTTTGTAGATATCTGTGCAGTAAGAGGTTCTAAGTAATTTCACAGATAGGGCTATATAACCTTTGTTATTTCTATTACTGCAACAGTTGAAACAGAACAGTGCCGGAATAAATACAATTTTTAAACGAGCGTTTTAAAATTTAATTAAATAAATAATTCGATATATTATTAAAAAATATGTTTATTTGCGAATGAAATTTAACTAACTGCCATACTCTGTAATTATTGGTTTTAATTTTATTAATACATACCTACTGTTCTGTCTTAGAAATAAAACAACACTTTTTTCCACAGTTTAATATTTTTGACTAAGTTTACACGAATATATGCGTTTCTCCCTAGGTACTTTTTAATATTTTGTTTTCTCTAAAAAAACAAGTCTTTATAGATATGTTTATTTGAAATTTTCAAAAATGAACCTTGTAAGGTAATGACTTATGTACAGGATGGGCCACCGGTAACGCTTCGGCCTGTAGAGCCAAAACTATTTGATTTTTTAAAATTTGTTTTTATTAAGAGATGTATGTCCGAAAAGATAA